GCTGCTTGAAAAGCCTCAGGCATCAAAGGCACACAGCTTTCTCTTGGTGGCAGAGATCCGTCTGGAGCTGGGGTTTGCAGCTCCTGGGCTCCCTTTGTCAGCTCAGCTGCAGAGGCAAGGTGCAGTCTGGTGGCCTGACTCGGGTCGCCCCCTACGCTTGTCCCTAGCCTTGCTTGTGGGAGACCTCCCTCTTTCTGGTCTCTTCTTGTGGTGCTGGCGGTTGTGATCAGTGTGTACCCCGAGAGGAGCCTGGCAGGTGCCAGTGGTCCCAGGTTCTGTTCTGCCTGTTGGGCGTTGCACTAGCTCTCCATGTAACGTTAAGCAAATCTCCATGCAAAATTAACATCTGTTCTGCAGCTGTACAGTGGGGACAACAGTACAGTACTTCCTTTTTCTGTCCCTGTTTGGAATGTAAACTCTTTGGCTACGTCTACACCGCAAGGTTTTTGCGCAAAAACCCGTGGAGCGTCCACACCTCAAATGTGCTTTTGCGCTAGGAAAGCAAGAGTAAAACGGCAGAACAGAGAGCTTTTTCCGCCGTAGGTAAACCTCCTTTTAAGAGGCATAACTCCCTTTTGCGCAAGAGTTCTTGAGCAAAAAGGCAAGTGTGGACGCTCCAGAGGAGTTTCTTGTGCAACCCCAATGAGAAAAAGCATAGGTGCTCTGATGGTCATTCTGTGAACGGCCATCAGAGCTTTCTTGCGCAAGAGCGTCCATGCAGTGTGGAAGCTTTCTTGCACAAAAGCACATCACTTTTGCAGTGTGCCTGGAGGTGTGGACGTGCTCTTGTGCAAAAGCCTTCTTGTGCAAGAAGCATGTAGTGTACATAGCCTTTGTGGGCAGAGAATGGATCTTGCTGTGGTTGGGAAGTGCTAGGCAAAGTTGTAACACTAATAGTTGTTATATGAAAAACCGAGGAGTCCTGTGGCACCTTAGGCTATGTCTAGACTACATCCCTCCTTCGAAAGAGGGATATAAATTAGATCGAAATTGCAAACGAAGCCGGGATTTGAATTTCCCATGCTTCATTTGTATAATGGCAGCCACACGTTCTTTCAAAAATGGGTATTTCAAAAGTGAAACTGCTGTCTAGACGTGGTTCTTTCAAAAAAAATCCCGTAAACCTCGTTTTTTGAGGAGTACTAGGGGCAGAAGTGCTCTCCTGTTGACAAAGCAAATACCTTAGGGAGTGGAAGTCTGTCAGCAAAAAATGCTGACAGTGTTTTAAGGGCCTGACATTTAGCAATACCTGTCATTAAAAGCTATGACCCTCACTCAACTCCAGCTTGCAGAAAGACTTTGAAATTTGGCAGTGGGATTGTCCTGGTGTCAGAGGTGTCTTTAACTGTTCAGATCTGACTGACTTACACGCTGTTAAAAATCACCATTTCCTAGGTATAGACTAAGCTCATTATTGGTAGCACGTGAACCTCCTCACCAGGTTTTAGAAGTGCGTGTACACAGCTTCCTGATGTCTTATTTTAGTAATTTCACACAGAAGGCCCACTCCAGATGGGCTGCAGACACATGGATCATACTCTTCATCATCCTACTACTGCTCTCCCCCATTAAAATTCCTACTCAGGAAACCAACAAACGAGGAGGTTCATGTCTACTAAATAATTCTGTCTCTTTCACACCTTTTATAATTAACTCAGCTTTCAGGCCTTGCTTAAAGGAATCTGCATTTCTCTGGTGAGGTGGTACAGAAAAGCAAAGCCCCTAGATTTGAGTCAGGCCATATGCAATAAGAACAGAGCAAGCACTGCTAGAAACAAACTGATCTGCACTATCTGGAGGATGCACTTTGCTCTAGTTTTCCTCTCCATCTGCTCTCATATTGATGACATCACTGACATCTAGTGGCCTTGGCTGTCACACAACAATCTAGAGGATTTCCCATAGGACCAGGACTGGTTGTTGTAGTGCAAGCAATGCTTAACTTGTCAGCCAAGAGGTGCTGGGTCTCCGGCCCTTAGGTGCCAGGGTTCCAGCTTTTTAACTTTCATAGCTGATTTGGCAAACCCAAAGGTTCTAGGACTGAAGTGCTGGGGTTCAACAGCAGTAAGTCCTGGCACAAGTTAAGCACAGAGCACAGTCCACATGATTAGACAAGCAATTACACCTTTTCTAATGCATCTGCATCTGCCAAAGTGGGTCTTTGCCCACGAAAGTTTCTGCTCCAACACTTCGGTTAGTCTACAAGGTGCCACAGGACTCCTCGCCGCTTTTGCAGATTCAGACTAACACGGCGACCCCTCTGATACTCGACACCTTTTCTAACGCGGTAGGCCCCAAAAGTACCTTCGCGCTGTTCCGAAGCGTGCGCGTACTTTCACTTCTGCATTTCAGCACCGAGCAAACAGTTCGACAGCTGAGTTTTTACATACAGGTTCAAAAAGGCGCATGCAATCAGTGTTCGAGTCCTTCTGCCTTTCAAATGAACATTGTTTCCCGGGATTCACTTAACGCCGCATAAGACGTGAACTGAAGGGGCTACAGAAGGGAGTTGTAATTCTGCGCCAGAAACAAAACCCCCTTCCCGGTGGGCATTCATTTCCTAAGACACTGACACAGGTTACACTTGTCACCTCTTCCATTTCTGTGACCGTCTTTCAACTCGCCCTTGCCACTACTAGTAGTTGCATTCATTACGTCCTTACTGCCCACCTGGCAGCCGATTAATCAGCGCGTTACCTCCCCGCACCAGAGCTTCCTGCAGCTATTGGAGGAAACAATTGGCATAATCCATCCTGAAGCTGAATTGTGGCAGTCTGAGCTGTGCAGGCTCACACGTTCCTGCCAGTGCACCCTGTCAGAAAAACCTCTTCCTCAGAGCAGCTGACTCTGCTCTGCCTCCCGACAATTTCTCCCTCAAACGGTACCATGGTTCAGAATGAGCTGCTTGATTCTTACTGGAACCACTGGCGTGAACCCAGCTGGCATCTAAACTGTTGCACTTGTCATGGCACAAGCAGGTCTAAGGCACAAGTCAGAATGCTGGGTAAGGAAGCCAGGGGATAAAGGAGGTTGGGAAGCCTTGTTTGTGTTCGTTTTACTTTAATAATTCAAGTTTTGTCTACTACTGAAGCCTATGGCAGCAAGAGGCAGAGCAATTCTACCCCAAGGGGCAGAGAGATTCTTATTGCTGCCACCTTATGGAGATTTCAGAGAAAGAATCCACTTCTCTGGACCCAATAGCCCCCTCCATTAGGGTGCTAGAGCTCGGGACACACAGCTGCCCCCGCAACCCCTGTTGTCTTCCAGCACGGCTCTCTTGCTTGTGTTCCTAAGAGTTCTTGGGCAAAAACGACAGCAAGCCGAACAGAAAAGGGGAAGCAGGCACAAACCGAGGTCGTGTGGAAACTGCCATTGTGTAAATGCTTTATAGCACCATCGAATTACATGATCAGATAGACTCAAATACAAAAACTCAACAGTTCTCTAGTAGCATTGTGCAGCACTAGGGACGGCTTTGTGTAGAGACAGGCAAATCACTTCTCTGAAAGTTTATATGGTAAACAGTGTCATACAGTCTAACAGGAGGAATATGGAAAATTAGTTTTGTAACTAATGCGTCTGCTAATTGCACTTAAGGTTACGCTTCTGGTGAGAAAAGGGCATACACAGAAGAGTGCTCACAGTAAGGAGAACTTAAAGCTCATTATACAAGAAACCTACATGAATAAAAATACAACAGTGGGAAATAAATATTAGAAGCTCTGTTAGGGAAATGTACTATATTTGCTAAACAGTAAGATCATGCAATTCAGCATAGCAGGATGCACAAGTACAAAGAAGGACAGTTGCATATGCAAACAGTGTGAGCATTTCCTGATGTGCTTGCTTAGCTGTACAGCTGTGCGTCCCCCAGCGTAGCTTTTTCCTGGACTGTATTATTTTGATAGTAATTGTTTTAAGCAAAAAATATAAAAAGTTTAAAGGATCAAGAGCATGATGTTTAGCAGAAGCCTTCCATGTCATGATGAGTACTGAAATCAGGCATCTCTCGGAGTCTGTATTGTATGGAAAGGGTGCAGTGCAAAGCACCAAGGTGATGTGTTCACAGTGACTAGTGTTGCTACAAACTGGACCGTTGTGTTTTACATTAGATGGAGCTTTTACCAGAGTGTGGTTGTAACTGAGCCTAGAGGTCTCAAATGCTGTGTCACCAAGGCCAGATCGGTGCCTTCTCCTCCCCCCCACCTGTAACCATCACGGCCAGCCATGGCTATTTAGATATCCCAACAGACCTGGAGGCTGCAGGAGCCCTCAAAGAAGGGGAATGTTACCGAGGAAGCGTGCTCTTCAACTGCTTCTCTTTTCCAACCAACACCCTGTTTTGTGGAGATTCACCTTTAGCCCCCATTGAAATGCCGCTCACAGCACCAGCATTACACAACTGTTCAGGAAGGGAAGGTACCATAGTCAATTAGTCAGGGAACTTAGAAGAGAGGACAGAGTGGACAAACTACCCTAGTCAGAATTGGCTGCATTTCTGCTCAACACCCTGTTTTTAGAAGGGCCATGGCATTATCATTGCCAGACATGGCTGGGAGTGCAGTGTTAAAACATATACATATAGGGCCTCTCCGGTAGCATAGTGCCTTGGTACCGGACCAGAATGTTTCAATACTTAAGGAATAGGAGGAGAAACGGTTTTAGTAGGTGGTGTTCTAACCGCCTTCTGTGTTTTCCTCATTGGCACCAGGTAGTAAAGGCTGCAAACAATATTGCCTGATGTGCTAAAAACATCTGCTGAAGTTTGGTAACACCCAGATGAGCTGTGTTTCACTGGCTTGTTTCTAAGGCAGAGGGACTCACAAAGCACTCATTTCTGGCCTAGCTGTTCTCACTGAAGTGGAGTTTTACCACTGATGTCCATGAGGCCAGAGTCAGGGCAACACTATACACTTTTGATAACCTTCCCTTCACTTCCAGCACCCTGTAAACTAGGAAACGTCAATACTGAGCTTATGATACGAGCATGCAAACCAGAATAAAATTTAATATTTATTAGAATTTCTTCTGGTAACAGCACTCAACATCTTAACAAATCAAGTTGTGAAGTTTTAAAAAATCTAGGATTACAAAAAAAGTTAAAATAAGCTGTTCCTTGTATTTAATGGCAACAAAGGGATTTCTCTATTTAAAAAAACTGCCATATAAAGAGTAGTATTTTAAGAAATAGTGTGATTACCATGATATGTTATTTGCAGAATGGATACACAGTATATGAATGCCAATCGGAAAGGAACAGAAGTGCAGAAAGTACCACACTCTTTGAAGCTCTGGACAGGTGGTTTGAAGTAAGGGGGAGATCTTCCTAGTGAAATAACTTAAGATACCACACAATGGACGAAACACAAGGTAGAGTACAGAGACGTTACATGACACCCTCGTTACAGCGCCCCCTCAAGTCTGGTTATACAGTAAATATGAAACTTAGTAAAGTGCATCTTTTAAAGACTTGTCTAGTGAAATAGCATCTTCAGATATAAAACACTTAACACAAGACGTGCAAGAACAGTTAAATCATAGTGTAAGTTTTTAAAAACTACTTTTTAAACTTTTGATTCACTAAAGGACAAAGGTGTCAGCAACAGTAGTGTTCACATTATTCTTCACTCAGATGCATCCTCGTGTGCTTTTTGTTACTTGGCAAATCTTTAGGTATGGAGCGGGGCAAAATAAATGCAGTCGAAGCAAACACTGCTTCTCTCAATGTAATACAATTCTGCCATGGCAACACAACCACAGTTAGATTTTGGGAAGCTTTGGTGCACTAACAACAGGATTCGTCTCCTGCAAGTACCTCCGCCCCACGCTCTTGTAGTCGTAGGTGCAGGTGTGAGTCTCTGCATAGCGATGAGTAGCACAGAAGTTGTTTCCACATCTAAAGAACAAAGAACATGAAAAATTAGGATTCACTGTCCACGAGCCTGTTACTTTGGGGGACACAGTTTCTGCTTGGAGACAGCACCCTTTCATTCAGCAAACCCAAATCACTAGACAGGCACTCTACCGTGGGCTAATGGGGTGAGGGAAATCAACTAACTTCTTCAAATCCAGCCACAAGCATCATCTCATCACAGGCCAGGGATGGACATGGAGACAGCGATTCTGCTATACTGCCTCTCCCCGAGTTACGAACGAGTTACAGACCAAACACTTGGCCGTAGTTCGAACTGTTCGTAACTCGGACCCCATTGAGTTACATGGCGACCTCACTGTTTGTAAGTGCGGATCACATTCGTAACTCGGGGACCGCATTTACGACCGAAGCGGTCGTAAATGCGAACGGTTGTAACTCGACTGTTCTCAACTTGGGGACCGGCTATACTAGACAAGCGTTGCTTTCCCCTAACAGCAGCAGCTGATGCACATTAAGAGAAGGGAATGGTTTGGCTTTGCAATTTGACCTCTTGATTATAACTACAGCTCCTGGCAAGGGAGAAGGGCGCGCTGCTGTCTGGGAAGAGGACTATGCATGTGACCTCGTGGCAGTTAGCGAGTTAGACCTTGCGTATTGCCCTTACTCGACTCCTAGCCACACAGAAATCGTGTGTTTGAGCAAGTCGGCATGAGGTAGCTAAGCCCTCAGGGGCAGGTTTTGGATGTTTGAGCGAGTGATTCAGCAGGGAAGCAACAAGGTGAGTTAGAAGTAGCAGCAGCTGTGCGGCTCAAGTTCAGTTTTGAAGCAGGGGTTCCTTCTCAAATGAGGCTAGATCAAGTACAGTGAGTTAAGTGTGCTAACTCAAGCTACCAATTGCAATAAATACCCTGACAAACTCCCCCACCCACAGCTGGTGGCCCTTTAAAAGACAGCTGAGAGTAACAGCCCGTCAAAACTAACGTAAAATCAGAAGTAACTTAATTCAGGAGGTTGCTGAGTGTGTGTCTGACAGTAATAGGCTATCCACCTACTCGATTCAGTTCTTTGTAGGATGGTCCGGATGGATGAAAGCTTATGGCCAAATATACGTATTAGTCTTTAAAGTGCCACAGGACTCCTCCTTGGTTAAGCTGATGTATTGGTTTTTCAGGTCAGTGACCTGGGTCTATAACGGGAAAGTCTCTTGCATAACAACATTCCTTCCTTGGTTATGTTCAGTTGTAATGGAGGCGCAGCTAAAGGGTAGGCACAGCTATGCTGAAAGAAACATGCTTCCGTTGACCTCCTCCCTACTGTTCAGGGAGCTGGAGTTCTTATTCTGACGGGGAAACACTTTCCGTCGGTGCAGGCTGCAGCTCCACAGCAGGGTTATGCTGGCATAGCTTCTGTGGCATAGTCACACCCTTATGTTAACCCCATCTGGGTCAGGCATTTCCTCGACTTGCTCTGAAGAAAATTCAAAGCTTCTCAGAAGCTAGCATCTAAAGAACAGATTCTCCCAGACCCAAGTTTGATATTTTGGCTAACAGAACTTCTTAATGGGAAGCCAGGACGGAAGCAAATAAAATAAAAATTGGGATGTTATCATGCTAGGGAGTTAAAGTCCAAATGCTTTCAGAAGACTTAATTCAGAAGAACTCCACTACAGGGAAAAAAATCCAACCTCAGGAAAATGACTCAAGATCTAAATGCCAGTATTTCTCCTCCAGCACCCAGTGAAGGTTTATTTGGATTTACTGTTAATTTCTTCAATTCTCTGGAAGCTTTAATATAAAATCTGATTTGAGAGTGACATTTTTCTTTTTTCCTTGGTATGTTTAGATCACACAAAACGAGATTTCATCAACTAATTTTGAACTGCAATGGTTTCTCTTTCCTCACCTTTACATTGACTTTATGAAAGTTAATTAAAAATAGAGGAGAAGTGGAAAAGGGTTCAGTGGGGACTGCTGTTTTGCACACATTTAACAGCAGCAAGTTGCTGGATACAAAGCAATAGAGGTGTTACTTTGTTGGCTTACTCAAGTCAAATGTAGTCCTCGAAATCAGAGGCACGAGGGGGGGAGGCGCTGTATCTTTTATTGGACCAACTTCTGATGGTGAGTGACCTGAAGAGCTCTGAGTGAGCTCAAAAGCTGGTTTCTCACTAACAGAAGTTGGTTCAATAAAAGGTATTACCTCTCCACGTTCTCACTATAGATCCTCGGATTGACACAGCTACACCCCCACTGCATACTACCTGGAAGTCAATGGCAGATTTACACAGAAATACCAACCAAAACAGCTTATTTTCCAAGATGCTACTAATGCATGTTCCTAATTTTCTCTCACTGATGATGGATTCTTAGCCAAGTTCTTCTCACATTTGTCTGTATCCCCCCCCTCCTCCCCCATCATCTTCTCTGGGCTGTACCTAGCAAGCTAAAGTCTCCTATGAGCCCAAACCTCTTGACTGACAGGGCACAAGGTGGATACCCTGAAAGCACAGAATGTATTCTCTATCTGAGCCTTATTTCTCACAGTTCATGGAAAATTCAAGTCATGAGCAATTCTCTCAAAATTTCACTCACACACACACACACACTTTCTCTGACCACAGATACACATTTTAACCACTTGCTACAACCTCAACCTACCTGCATTCATAGCTGGTTGCCAATCCAGTTTTCTTGCCACAGAGAAAGCAGTGTTTTGTAATTTTCTTTTTTGTTTGCATTGAACCATTCACAGGTGGGAGATGGGTTGCTTCACCTGCTTTCAAAAGTAAAACATAAAATTAACAGATTTGATAGTTACATTTTCTGCTGACCCCTTGGTTGTATTTCAGGAGATGATATTCAACTCCCCTCATAGCCAGAGAACACACTTCGCCTTTCAAGTGGAGCTCCCACTCTGTCTTTGCACGCATCGGTTAAGCCTCCTAGCATGTATCTTAGGGAAGTGAAGGTGCAACTGGTCTTAAGTTCACATTAATGGAGGGCAGAACCAAAAAGTGCAGTGCCAAGCCTGTCTCCCTGCTGCACTGTGTGGCTGTGTCTACACTGGCACCCTTGTCCGGAAAAGGGATGCTAATGAGACACTTCGGAATTGCAAATGCCGCGGGGGATTTAAATATCTCCCGCGGCATTTGCATGAACATGGCTGCCGCTTTTTTCCGGCTCGGGGTTTTGCGGGAGAAAAGCGCCAGTCTAGACGGGATCTTGTGGAAAATAAGCCCTTTTCCGGAAGATCCCTTATTCCTACTTTCAATAAGGGATCTTCCGGAAAAGGGCTTATTTTCCGCAAGATCCCGTCTAGACTGGCGCTTTTCTCCGGCAAAACCCCGAGCCGGAAAAAAGCGGCAGCCATGTTCATGCAAATGCCGTGGGGGATATTTAAATCCCCCGCGGCATTTACAATCCCGAAGTGTCTCATTAGCATCCCTTTTCCGGAAAAGGGTGCCAATGTAGACACAGCCTGTATGTTTATTTTGTGGTTGGAACAGAGCCTTGACCACCAGTGACTTTCCAATGGAATCAGTGGACCATTAGTATTTACCCAGTACATAGCATACACACCAGAAGGTAAGCTCAGAGATGTGGCCCTTTAAGTATCACAATATAACAGGCACCTGGCTACATTAAGTTCCCATTTTCAAGTTTTGCAGGCACGCTGCAGGTTAACAGGAAAAGTCGGAGAGGAAATGACAAACTATCCAGGCCTTGTCTATGCTACCACAGGCCATCAACCTAAGTTACACAACTTCAGCTGTGTGAATAATGTAGCTGAAGCCGACGTACCTAGGTCTGCTTACTGCAGTATCTTCACAGTGGACAGTCGACAACTGATGCTCTCCCGGTGACTCCACCTACTCTTCTTGTTTTGGTGGAGTACCAAAGTCCATGGGAGAGTGCTTGATTTATTGTGTCTATACTAGGCATTTATTGGGTCTATACCATCAATAAATTGACCTTCAATGGATCAGTCACTGCCTGTTGATCCAGCGGGTGGTGAAGACATGCCCTCATTTTCCCCATCACCAGAGCAACCCTTCAGTCAGTCCTGTTGTATTATGCTATGTGGCAAGTGATGGTTAGTAATCAGGAGAGGAAAATACTAATATCACAGAGGATTATAAAGGTATTGTTCCTGCACCCATCCCCACGGCGCAGTGAACCACTAGCACACAAGTACTTCACATACAGCACATCTCAGTTCCAATAGCCAGTCTTTTTGAGGTGTAACGGACGGGACCAAATTCAGCCCTACGCTAGCTGACCGTAGCTTTCAGTGCACTGGGCCACCGAGCGGTAGCTGTGCCTGCTTGCGCAAGGGCTGGGATTGCCCCATTGAAGCTATGGCTGCTGACACAGAGGACTGTCTAGATCTAACTAGTCTGCACGATCCGTTCCAGTCTCTAAAACTGCGCGTACTTGACTGGATTCCATTTTGGGGAGCAGGTTCTGTCCTCACACACTTACCAGGGGATTTCGGTTAGCCCAGTTTGGAAATGGTATTGGGAGCAGTATATACTACTAAGGGTTTATACCACAGATGGATTTTAAAATGGTTCCTACCATGGACCATACTGATTCACAGATCCCGAAGCCAGAAGGAGCCACTGGGATCATGTAGTCTGACCTCCTGTATTCCACAGAGCAGAGAACTCCCCCAAAATAACTCCTCAAAAAAAAAAAAAGAGACTGCCTCATGGACAAATGATCACGTAAGATCCCTGATGCTCTTATGACAACTGCTTACAAGGGTACGACAGACTAGCGAAGGGTTAGCTCATTATTAGTCGTCTTTAATGTGATACAACAGCTGGAATCAGAGAAGCCAACACCATGTGACTAGCCTGTCCTCCACGGACCACCAGTGATTTGCAGAGTGCAGTTTGAGAACCGGTGTTTTCACTACTGGCTTGCTCTTTCCAGCGCGATTAACCTGGCTGACAAATTTCCTGCAACATCAGCCACTGCACAGAGAAGTCTGCAGTACACCACACTGGTTTCAGAAGAAACCTCATCAGGCTCTGTACAGTGCAACATCAGCCTCTCCTCTTCTCAGACGTCTGGAACGGTTTGCAAGACACGCTGTTGGTTGTCATAACAGTAGTTTTCAACCTTTTTTCATCTGCAGACCCCTACAGAGGGACCCCTGTGGAAATCAGACTCTTTCCAAAGATCCATGGATGACAGGCTGAAAACCACTGGTGTAATGTGCACCAGGCTAGACCCTCTGCTGGTGTAAACTGGCATAGCTCTATAAGACAATGGTGTTACTTGATTCTTCCTGGCCACAAATGCTCCCAAAATAAGCGCCTGGTAATAAATTCGACCCTGTCAGTCTTTGATAAGACTGCTTACATCTGATCTTCCAAGCACATTCAATTGTATTTTATCTGATTATTCAAATGCTGCCACTTTGATGCACTCAAAATGCTTCAAAGCAGATGGAGAATACTGTGTAAGAGCCTATTAAATACACCCCTGCAATTTGCAAACAAGATTGTTTGCAAAGTTAAAATGACAAACATACCAGAAGTCAAGCTACTTGGCAACCAGTAATACCTGGAGGTTACAGTACAGCACATACTGCTCTTATGACAGATGTTCCAAGAGTAACAGAGTCAGCTAGTGTGCTCACAAAGTTAAATGACCCACACGTACTCCCCACCACTAAATACAATAATTCTTTTTATCTGTAAGGCTCTGCCAAGCACAGATAACAGCACCAAGAGTGGGGCCTAGGAAAGTACAAGCCAGCTTTGACACTGCAAGCATGTTAAATCCAGACGGAGGAGAAACTTTGATAGTCCACTTATTCTTATCAGCTTTACACAATCACAGGGGAGAAGGGAAGAAAATAGCACAAAGTCCCACAAAATTACTCACCCCAAACTCAGTTTTTGGAGTCGACTAGGTAAGCAATAGCTTCCTTGACTCTGCTGAATTAGTGATGTTGAATTTAGATTAGTTACTAACTGAATAGTCGATGGGATTTCCATCGACTATTCGATTATTCTATAAATGCGCCTCTGCCTTTGAATTGTAGCAAGAGCTCTGCCAGGCTCCTGCTGCAGTTCAAAAGTGGAAGGCCCACAAGGAGCGCGGGGCCAGAGGGGGACTCCTGCTGGCCCCGCTTCCTGTAGTGCCTCAACCTTTGAAATGTACAAGAGCCTTAGTGGGGCTCTTGTACATTTCAAAAGCAGGACCGCAGCACAAGCAGAAACCGCTTCAGGCCCCGCTTGCGCCACTTCCCGCTGTGCCTCTACCTACCCAGCCCCCTGCGGAGACAGTGCTGGAGGGAACTGGCTTTTAATCCAGCTCCCTCCAGCACCTGCTCTTGCTCTCTCCTCCCCCCACCCCTTGCTGCCCAGAGGTAGGAAGTGGGGAAGTGACTAGCTGCATCATTAGTTGACTATCTGATAAGCTTCTGCATATCGGACAATCGACTAGTCGCTTACAGCCCTATTGTGAATACCGTAACACAAACACCCTTTGGCCTGGAGAAAGGTGCAAAGGAGACAACTGGACATTAATGCAGCTTTGGATTAACTAACCGTGCCACCAACAGTGGAAGGAGGAGAGTGTCCACTGCTCTACCCTTAGGTCATGAGCAGTTTTAACTGTGAAAGTCATATTATTCCCCTTTGAGGAACAAGATCTTCTAGTTGATTCCTCACACTTTTTCCAAACTCGTGCTAGGGAGAGGAAAAGAGTAAACCACAGCTGTGAAGGGCGTGAAGCAAGAGGAAGGGGGCAATCATGCTCAGTGGATTTCTCAAACAAAGAAGAGACACTGCTACTGTGAGCGAGTTCTTTGGACCTGTGTGTAAGTCCAGGGCAGGGGGTGGCACTCTCCGGCAAGTGGCCTACCAGGGTTGCCAGCTGGTGGGGGCAAGACATTTTGCTTATATTGACCGTCACAGCTTCCAATGGCTGTGGTTCATTGCTCCCGGCCCACAGGAGGGGGGGCTGCCTGCAGACAGTCGATGTAAACAAAATGCCCCGCAGCCCACCAGCAGATTATCCTGAGGGACTGTGTGCTGAGGGTTGACAAGCCCTAAGTTTAGGGATTGCCTGCGGGCTCTGAAAGTTAGGAACTCTAGAGATATTCTACAGCACTAACTGCCTACTGCTGCACCAGAAAGCTCTGAAAGGCCTGAAACCTGTAGGCGCCTTCCCAGATACCGGCTAGTGAGAAAGGTGGAAGAGTTTTTAAAACCCCTTGAGTTTACTGAGCCAAACGCACACAAAAATAGCCATTCAAGCTAGTTGGAAGACAGAATGAACACACTAAGAATAAGGAATTAAATACAGCCCATCTCCAGGACTGACAGACAGGTATTCATCGCAAAGGCTTTATCCCGCAACACGCTCCCTGAGACGCACAAGGAAAAAGCTTCACAGATACAAAAGATCTGGTGAGGTCTTCTCAGGCCACGTGTTGGAGCAATCACTGTTTAAAGCAACAGTAGCTAGTAGTATCCTCCCACCTCTCCCTAAGGAATAGCTAGACTTGTTTCAGGCTGCAGAGCTGACACACACAGAAGTAGGCCAGGTGCAGTGTTCTTATTCTCTAACTATGGAACTAAGCAAACCGTTCAGAGAAACAGCTATTACAAAGAACTGAATTTTTAACCACACACCAGTGACCGTTTAACATTCACATTATCAAGATACACTAATACGCAAAAAGAAGAAGATTAGTCATAGGAACTTCTCCAGAGGTATATACTCCTCTTAAACAATACGTAATGCTATTGAATATCCAAATAATAAGACACTTTCAAATCACAACACTATATACCACAATGCCTACAACATCTGTACATGCCCATAAAGGACAGTACACCAGAGGTGGGCAATAATTCTGGCAGCAGGGGCGATTTCATGAATTATGGTACACAGTCATGGGCTGGCTTCAGTCCCTCCCTGCCCCAGGAAGGGACAGGACCTTGTGCAGAAGGGGTGGAGCTGGGACTAGAGAGAAATAGCATGAGACAGACAGACTTTGTGACACAGACCGGGGGTGTATGGCAAGTGACAGCGAGCGTGTGCTGGCTGTTGCTTAGAGGTGCACGCTGATCACACACAACACTGACCATGAAAGCCAGGCGTTCCCTCTGCATCCAATTCAATTGCACCCCCTGCAAGTTCTAGCTTTGCCAGCACAATTAGCAAAACTACCCTCTCCCGGGAGGCCACCCAGGTTACGACAATCTTGCAGCCCATGGAGATGAAGGAGGCCCAACTCACTAGCCTAGGTTGCCCATCGCTACTGCAGAACATTCTTGAATGCTGAGTGAACAGTAAAAATAATGCAGCTGAAAACAAAACTCCACTGCCACCTCCAAACACTTATACTACACTGATGAAAATTTCTTTACAAAGAAGGGCAGTACCATCACCCCCATTTACAGAGGGGGAAACTGAAGCACCAAGCAGGACGTGGCTTGCTCACAGTCATCCACCAGGGCAGTGACAGAGCCAGGATATTCTCTGGGACCCAAATTCTACCCAAAGCTAGAATAAGATCCGCGTATGAGAGCACAACTCAAAACATTCAGGTTTAATACACCATTTTATACAAATCTAGTGCAGAGAAAGCAGTTCAAAGCTTTATGCCCTCCAAAGGTCTAATTCTTGCTCTGTGAGTGTTTGATAAAAGATTTAAAGAGTCAATTTCAGCTCTAACAAAAACTCATACTACTTACCTATTCTTTTCCCTGTAGCTGCAACATTTCCATTCATTCCAAGCCCATGGGCAGGCTAAAAATAAAAATATTTTAAGTGGAATTACTGATGACTGACACCAAATACAAGATTAAGCAATTTCACAGCGGCTTGTCTGAAGCTCATGTTGTATCAGTCAATATAGATATGAAGAGAGCTATGAGAAGTATTTTGACTATAAAGTCCAAAGTTAAACCTTGTTTAAAAGGACTGATTTAAGAAATGTAGTGGAGCACATTAAAAACTTCTGTGGCTAATGTGAGTTACAGGTCAACCTTTAAAATGGCTCACCATTAATGAATAGCAGAAAGAGCCAAACGACATTTCTACACATACAGTGTTTAGCCAGGAGAGTTACAAGTGGCAAAGGAGTTTACACTCCGAACGAAAAGTACTCTAACATCACTGTAAATCTGTAGGGAGATTGCCTCTAGAAACCCACTAGCGAAACATGCAAGCAAGATGCCAAAGAAATCTAGAACACTGTCTGTTCTGAAGTACTGATGGTATCGGATGAGATGTATAGTCCCCCAGCTTGAAGAGGCATTATGGGGCAGTCTTCACTAGAGAATATAGGAAAACCCCAATTGGGCAGGAAATACTGGTACTTACCAGGAAATATTCAGCAGCATCATCGGGGGGAGAGGCTTTCTTAAAGCTTTCTTCCTGAAAACGCTGGAGGTTTGTAGGTAGTGCAATACCAGAAGTCCGAAACCTGCCCGTCCCGCAGGAATTCTGTAAACTTTCCCTGCTCGCGCTTCGGGCCAGCGAAGCTAAAAATTCTAAGTTATTTACAGAACCCACAGGTTCTTTGGATGCCTTGTTTGCCACCTCTGTGATGTCCCGAGCCTCCATTTTAGAAATGATATCGGGTCTTTTGCCAGGCGAGTCTACCTTCACACCACGAAATCTGGTAGTCCTTGGGAAAGAGGAGTCGGCCGTATTGTGGACCTCCAAAGATCGGAGCAGATTTGGGGAGGCAGCAGGCCTCAAGTTACCAACCTCAAAGCATTTGGGTTGCGGCTGCGGTTTCAGAGAACTGTGATGTGCCATTTGGGCTGAATACCGAAGAGGTGACAAGAATGTGTTCTTCTGAGGACTTAGTTCACGAGTGTTGAGATACCCAGCCTCCACTGCTGCCGCGCTCAGGATTTTTGTAATGGGCTTGCTATGCTGCTCTACAGCTTTAGACTCCTCATCCCCATCAGACAGTCCAAGCTCTGGGTTTACCTTCCCTATTCCATACAGTTCGCTGTACTGCTCAGCAGCATTTGCTTCCGCTAATAAAGCAAAAGCATCTGTTTCAGGTAGAAGCTTTTCTTCTGTTGCACACAGTTCTACATTTGGTAGAAGTGGATACAAGATAGGTTCTTCCTCATTTGTGGATGTCACATTTTCTAAAGCTTTTTCAGAATTCATAGGCAGCGACGGGACAGGGGGAAGGAAGCTGTTTGCAGGTAGTTTTGTATTGTCGAGTTCGACGCGAGATATTTTCGGCGGTAGTCGAATGCTATTAACTGACTGCGACCGGGAGGTGCTCTCCCAGTTGTCATCTTCCTTAAGAAAGTCACTAGGAATGGATGGCATTGTTCTACCAGCAGTGGCCAAAGTAGCCAAAGCTGAAAGTGCATTCTGGGAAGACTCCGAGGGATATGAATTCCCAGGAGGAGGTAGGCAGGACTGTCCAATGTGGGGGAGTACTCTTAAAAAACGGTGACGAGCAGCTGCTGTCGAACCGCTAGACGGTCGAGGAACCATTGGTGGACGAGGTTTCACCTTGACAGTCTTCTTAGGCTATTTCAAAGGAAAAAAAGACATCATTATTATTATTATTATTTGTGTTACAATAGCATCCAGAGAGCCCAACTGAGATTGGGCCCCATTGTGCAAGAGACTGTCCCCGCACAGAAGATAAAGGAAGTACTATTGTCCACAATTTACAGACAAGGGACTGAGGCACAGACACTAAAGCGACTTACCTTATTTCTGCTTGAAAGGTAAAAATGGAACTCAGCCTAGAGCCTCACTCTCTTGTTCATACTCTAATTAAGGCATCAATACTTTTCAGTAGCTAATTATCTTGCTGATTAAGAAAAGAGGAAGATAATATCTTTCATTGGATCAATGTCTGTTTGTGGAAGAGACAAATTTTCAAGCTACACATTCTGTGTTGCTCAAAAGGTTTGTCCAATGCACCAACAGATATTACCTCACCCTCCTTATGCCTCTCATGTCCTGCTACTGACACCACTTGCTTCTTGACTGTACTTATAGACACCATAGCATTACTGTAAGTATTAACCAGATTATTATTATTGTGTTATTAACAAGACTTTATTATTATTAAGTGAAGCATCAAAAGGTGAAAATATCCTTGATACACACTGAATTCTTTGACTGCTGAAGCAGGGCATCCAATTAAACTATTATTTATTGAAGACCACTGGCACATCAACCCTCCACTTAACAAAATGAATACCAGTCGGCTCTCTAAAAAGACTTGCACTGGGAAGACGCATCATTTTATCTTGGGGTTATTGAGACCACAGCCTCACCTTTTTACTTAGATTCATGTTTTCCATCTTTGCCTTAAGCAGCTTCATTTTGTTCATAGTAATTGAATTCTCAATAATCTGTTGGCCGGAAGGAGATGCCTCTGTTTCTTCCTCGTCGTCTGCATACAAATTATAAACTGAGCCACCACTGAAATGAGAAAAAAAATCAAAGTTTTAGTGTTTTCACATTCTACAATCAAGGGACTTATCCATAACTTATCAATGCAGAGTACACCCACACAACTAGAAAGGCAAAGCCAATAGTCCATCTGTTACCAAGCATTATAGGAACTGTACAAAAGGATATTTCAAAAAGCAGTTCTCTTTGGAGAAAACAAGAATTCTTTAATGGGATGTTCACACCATGAACTGGTAATGAGGAGATCAGAATACAGCCAAGGTACCTGGAAATTGTACTTTATGTAGTTTTGCACCCACTGTATATTTTCCCCCAAAAGTCAGCATTCAGTCCATTAGTGTCATCAGCTTTGGATATGCCAGCAGGAAACCTGAATCAGACAACAAGCTGATCAGTTTTCCCATTACTCAGACACTGTCACAGAAAGGAAGTCCTAATTTCGATACATCCCAAAGGTGTGGTGGTGGATGGTGTGTGTTTTTTTGTTTTTAAAGAAAAAAAGAAATGGAGGGGTTATCCATGTGTATATGACATTCTATTTCTGCTTTTTAAAATAAAAAGAAGACTCAGTTTAAGGAATCTCATTTGGAAAAAGGAAACTCTCCTCCAAGAACACTACATCTAACCAGACAAAACACACTGGAATGGATCGCTGGCAATAACATCACACCACGCCATCTGCTAAAATACACAGAGTGAAAGTAGAAAATGGACCTCAATATGTTTTAAATCTTATCCCTGATTTTTTTCCTTTAGCAAGCATTCTATTAATACACCCCCAACATTTAACTGTGCAACCATGGAAACATTAAGAAGCGTATTGAGTTTGATTCACACGTCGTATCACGTCTAACAGAAGTATTTTCTCTTCAAGAGAGATGTGGAAAGAACTAAATTCCAAGAGAAAGTCATCACAGGTCAGAAAGGTGTAATTACTACAAAGGATGCCAAATCTTAAATTTGTGAGCGCCAGATATGTCCCAATCATATGGCCACAAATTAAAGTTGGCATCTTCCCTGGTTTTCAAAGGCAGTCTACTCCACTTAAATGAAGAAACAGTGTTTGTGCTGACTCTCTAGGCAAAGATCAAGGACAGTTCTTGGATGAATAGGATGGCAAATCCTAAATTAGAATGTGAGTAAGAGTCATGTATTTCCTCATTGAACAACTGTGCATAAAGAAAAGCAACAAACACTTCATACCTTTATTCGTTCTACATTAAAGAACCCATCCAGACTCACAACCTTGCAAATAATAAACAAGTCAATTCCGTTTGCCTGGTTTTCACCTACTACTGTTAAAAGCGACACCAACAGTAACTATAACAAAAGAATTGAGAGTTCTCTTCTCCCTCTCCCTACCCCATTTTACTTTGTGCAATTGAGAGCACACCATTACTGGTTTTACTCGTTATTTATGTCCCTAATTTTGATACACTAATTTGACTAAGAGTCTTTACAGGAGATCCTAGAAAAACACCCAGTCAGCATAATGTATTTCCCTGGAAATAAAGAAGCTGGCTAAACTCCAATACAGTCATATTTCAATCATATGTTAGAATACCAGTCTTAACAGGCAGGGAAATTCAGATCACTAATTTTTAAGAACAAGAATTAGAACCCCTGGCAGATACTAGAAAATATATACAAAACTTGACTCTCTCCCCATTTCCTCCAGTTAATATATATTTTTATTCTCTCTTTCTCTACAGCACTCAGTAGTTTGGGAAAGCACAAATTCAGCACTACATTTTGCTAAATTCCTATGCTTTATATTTTTCTCCTGGGTGCATTCGGTGCCAAAACATTAAAAATTCTGAAAAGTTCTTCCAATTGTATTTGTCAACACAATACTAATCTAATCTGGACATTTATAATCTAATAAATCCGTGGTACACCCACATCTTGAATACTGCGTGCAGATGTGGTCTCCTCATCTCAAACAGATATCTTGGCACCGGAAAAAGTTCAGAAAAGGGCAACAAAAATGATGAGGGGTCTGAGCGGCCAGCACCTCTGCAGCCCATTTGGAGGTAGGGGAGGAATGAATTTCTGCAAAACTGCATTGTGCAGTGGTACGGAATTCCCCCAGGAGTATATATTTACGGACAAGTTACGGATGCCAGCTGCTCCATCCACCAAAGCCACCACTCTGCTCAGTCCTTCAGCCGACAGAGTGGAACTACAGTAATGAAAACACCCCCACACAGTGTAATCATTAGTCAATACTGAGCAGCTCTTTAACTAGACTGGAGAATCCTGGAGAGTAGAGCCAATGAATAAGCTTATTAGTCATCACCTGCAAAAACAACTAAAAGCACTGTGGCACCTTAGAGACTGACAGATTTGGGCATAAGCTTTTGTAGACAAAAACCACTTCCTCATATGCTTCTTCGTGCATGCATCTGACGAAGAGGTTTTTAGCCACAAAAGCTTATGCCCAAATAAATCTGTTAGACTCTAAGGTGCCACAGGATTCCTCGTTGATGTAAACAGTGCCAGTCACAGTGCTGAGAACAGACACTTCAACCTTGTTTACACACCGACTACCAGAACAGGCCTACCCTCCAAAGTGTTTGCAATGCCCCCATCCCAGACGGTTTTGTGTCATCTGCAAATCTGATCAGTGACAGTACTGCGGGAGACAGTCTAAATATTCTCTGGACGCCAGTTAAGGAATAACAGCTGAAAAGTTGTAACGCTTCCCCAACCCCTGCAGCCAGACGTGGAAATCAAACCCCACACTTTTTACCTTAAAGATTCAGATAATGGTGTTAAAGTGCCATCCCCCCTGTCTACCACACGGAAGAAATTCAACTGATCTCCTTCCCGGTACACCAAGAAGGTAACTTGTTTGTTGGAAGGCCCCTTCTCCCAGACCTCATCTCGACTGGGATCCATGTATTCAGCCATTTCCCTAATAGGGTCTTCCACAGGAACTATAAGGAGAAAACAGAATGAAAAACAGTCTATTTCAGCTCTGATCCCTCCAAAGAGGCTGAGGTAGAAGACCTCAACCCGTATACTGCATTTAAAAAAAAAAAATCTACAGCGATGGTCTGAAAATGTCTCTGATGGAACAGTCTTCAGGAAGAAAACAATAACCTGCCCAACTTCGTGTCAGCCTAGAATGAGCTTTTTCAGCCAGCGACTCAAACACCTGCTTAGATGTGGTTTGAATTCCCTGTGGTTCCATGTCATTTAGGTGGGTGTTTCAAGAGTCTGAAGCACTCTAGTGTGTCTGGCTCAAGTTCCCCCACCTCTCCCTGCTATGTTTAAATCCCCACCCTCTAGTCTGGGGCACTTCAGTGACTGCTGGCAGTCAGCCCAGAGGAGCCAATGGAACCACCCTGTGTTGACAAGTCTGAATGGGGCCAGCTGTCAGCCTCTAGCTATCATATCGAGCCAGGGTTTTATCATCCCACTTCACAAGCACCTCCATTCATCCTGTCAGAGCCATCAAAATCCACAGCTTCCATGCAGCGACTCACTGTGTCGCTCACTACTCGTCAAAGGAAACCTACTCACAGAAAGTCCACCTGCTTACAGCTATTAAGGAAGTTAGGGCATGAATGCTTTAACCACATCATTGCCTGTGTTTGGGACAGTGCAGAGGTAGGGTTATTTTTAAAGCTTAGCTGCCAGAAACAGTTGATTGGAAGGGTACAAAGCACAGTCTAAAAATTTAGGCATTTGTTATCCCCTATTCATCTGTCGGGCTCTCCTCCACTTCCCTTACTAGCCTTCTCCTTTCACTGAAGCACACCCCCACCTCGCTAGCTCTGAGCAGAACTCCATATGAGAAAGGATGGAATGAGATAAATGAGCAGACCATAGGATCCTGCTTAGCTACTGAAGATCTGGCATTAGACCTGCCTCTCCCTTGCCACCTGCAACAACGGAAGAAGTCCCATGCATACTGGTGGCTTACTACTGAAAGCACACCTCTTCCTACAGCTCTGCAGCACATGCATAAGGGATGGAGAGCGGGACACAAAAGGCAAAGGCATACCAAACAGGGAGGGGCCTTCAGATGTCCAAGGAGGGGATAGAAAGACAGAGGAGAAACAAAGTTAGTTGGTTAAGGATGGAAAATTCTATTCACTAGATTTATAAGTCAAATATATCACCACTACTTAAAGAGACTGATAAAGACTGTAAGCTCCCCCCTAAAATATTTAAAACTCAAGTTACAGTGAGCAGAGGAAATCCAGAGACAAATGAAATCAGACCCATCTTGACGTTTTAAACCTGGTTAATTTTTTCCAGTCTAAAAAAAGAAAGATTGAGGTTAAATTTGATTACTCTTTACTTTGAATTAGAGAAAATAATCTCAACAGCACTCACTATGTTTTAATTACTCTGAGCTCAGGTTTTTTTTTTCTGGCAAAAGATTAGTTTTGGGGGAATCCTAGAATCATGTTAAGAGACTGAAGTTTACAACAAAGTTTATTTAGAAACCATTCTACTTTAAGTTTCGCCAGAGTATGATTAGAGAGAGCAAGTAGGTCCTTTAGAAACAACGACTAATGTAATTCTCCTATGAAAATAACCTACAACACATGGAGTGCATGTAAACTACAGCCCTTTTTCGATAAAAGGATGTAAATTAGATGTATCGAAATTGTAAATGAAGCCAGGATTTGAATTTCCTGCACTTCATTTCGATACGTCTAATTTACATCCTTTTATCAAAAAAGGGATGTAGTTTAGATGTACCCAGAGAGAAGATAAGAGCAGAGTTTTGTAAAACAAGGCATTTTATGTTCTATATAGCAGATTGCACTTAGTGACATTACAATGGAGGTTTCATTATATGAAAGCTAAGTGTCAGGCAGATTATTTTTAATTGCCTTTGAAAGTTGAACTCGTTTAAGCTTGATTAGATGTGAATCCCCAAAGGATGTGTAGAGGTCTCTTCTACAGAGTGCTTTACAAGTGAAAATAGCAAAGGGATTTCCTCACTTTCATCATTCATGCCTTTGTGGGTTTTATCACATAACAATGCTTTACCTATCCTAGGGTAGGCTGCTGCCCCATCTGTAGTAGTCAACAAAACACGTGCCAGACTGACATGCTTGGGTAACCAACGCCCCAGCTGTTGTTCAAGGGCACGGAGATTCTGAAGTCAAAAGAGGCTGTTTGGTGCACTATTTCTCATGCTCAACCTATATTGCTCTTTGGCCTCAAAGTTATTTCAGAGTATTGCTGAAGGGGGCCTATGCATAAAGATCTGGATATCCTTGTATATATGCTTTGCAAGTATGAACTGTTCTCCCAACCAGGATCCCAACAGTCAACACTCTGAGTGAAAGTCGCCTAAAAATTGCATTGTCCATTTGAAAATTAGACAGCAGAAATCAATTCATCTATCCTATTTCTAGCTGAGAATCAGTGCCGTCCTGCATGTGTATTTCTGCCAGCATTCAAAGCGCAGTTCATTCATGATATTATTTGAAGAGGATAGCTCCATTTCGCTGCCTTCCTCAAAACCCATTCTTTTTTTTCCAACAATTAACCTTTCTATCCTCCTTTTTACTTCCCTTTCCACGAGTCTATTAAAAATTAAGAACAATTTATGTGCAAACTGATAACGTGTTCGGTTGAGCGAAACGTATAAGATGGCAAGGCCACATGTTGCCTAAATTACTGCCCTACCCTTTCCTTTCCTGCTAAGGTGGCACTACAGAACTTCAGTTTGTTAGCCAAGGGTGGATCTGATTAGGGTAACTCCTCTAGAATTCTGCTTTCAGGTACTCAGCCTGAAAAAGTAGATGATAAAACAAAGGGCTAACTTATCTCAAGCTGAAGAAGAACTGCCACTGACAGTAAGCAATAAAGAGAATAGAAACAATCAAACCTCAAAGCTCTGACTAATTTGTAAGGAAAGAAAAAACAAACCTCTTCACAGGGACGCTAATGTGGTGTCAAAGCAGACTGACATATATTGAAGCAAAGACTCCCATAAACTCGATATACCGAATAGCTCTGGATTCCTAATACTACTCTTCTTTCTCTTTTAACTATTTTTTAAAAGGGATACAGACTTAAAATATAGTCTGTTTCATGACACGCTGTATTTTAACACGTAGCACCCATTCGAACGACTATGCACAAGTGTGTTAAATGAAAGAAAAGTTAAATCACTTTGCTAATACAGGTTGAATCTCTCTAGTGTAGCACGCTCGGGACCTGACTGGTGCTGATCCAGAGAATTTGCCAGACCACCAGAGGTCAATATTGTCTAGCAGCATTGACAACACTTACACTGCTTACTGGGCTCTAAGAAGACAGGGGTAAATTAAAGCTACACAACAGCACAATACATTGAGAACCAAGACTGGGATCTGTAAACAAACTTTATGGGACTATGGGAAACTTGGTTACACCCATAAATGGACATCCAACTAACTAAAATCTTGCCGGGCCATAGATGTTGCCAGACCAGAGAGGGTCAACCTGTAATAATCTTAGTGTTACAAACAACACCAGAAGATACATTTTTAGGTACGCTTGATTTTTAAGAGGTGTCCTTTTACCAATAAATGACATTTTCACATTACACAATTAGGATGCGCTAAACTGGATAGTCCAACAGAACAGTAACTTAATCACGCTAGCTGAGATTTTTCTGTTAGTGTTAGTTAGGAATTTCAATTGGCATCCAACTCCGTAAGTCTCCTTTGGAAATCTCACTATCATGTGTACTTATTATCTTTTCCAATATTCCTAGTTAAATTAATTAATACCTTATTAATACCTTATTTTCGCATTAAGTCTATACTGTAGAGAAATGCAGTTCAAGTAAGTTATGTAAGGGAGCCAGTCAATATTTTATTGCAGTAATCGCTTTTCAACTTCTAGCCCAACTTCACATCAAGAGTTTCCTTTAGGCTAATGACGTTTAAAACCACAAAATACGACAAATCAAAGAGATGGGTAAACAGACCCTTACATGCACCTCAAAAATCTTCCAATTCCTTTACAATTAGTCCATTTGGCCGAAAAGCTTAGCTAAAATAAAATGGTCTACAGTTAGGAGCATTGGAGTAAGAGTCATTATTAGATTGTCTTGATTCTTCACACAAAACCGACACAGACTTAAACTTGTACCTACCTCTTCTAGTGTTAATAGGCCCACCTCGCATAGCCAGTACCAGCTTCAAAGTGCAACCTTCCGAAATGCTGCAAATAGTCAACAAAATAGATGAAGTTTTACTGTCCTCTCAGTTTCTAATAGCAAAAGCTATGTTTGAAAGTGTTTGTTTTAGTTTTGTCTTATACTCACTTGTAATCATTCAAGCAATAGTCATCTTCCAGCTCTACATTATTCCAAATTAAGTGCTGCTGAGAGACAGGAATACCTTTGAAAAGACAACATTAAAATCAGTCAATTGGTAGAACGTCATTGTAGATTCTTCGTCAGAGAGACTAAAAATGGTTGTTTTCTAGCCACACCACTTGCTAGACAGTAGGTGTGCATTTAAACACACTGCAAATGCTATAATGTAGACTAAAGGGCAACCACTCAGTCAGGTTTTGTCTGCGCCGCAAGCTGAGCTATATTGCAACCCAGGTAGGCACAGCCATGCTAGAATAGCTTAAGCTGATCAAATATTCTAGGGCTTCCCAAACTCTACACTTCAACTCAGTTTCTGTAGGACCCCAAACTCACCACCTCCACAGAGCTTCTTTTATGGGACACTGGGGAATGTTTATGGTCAACTGCAGCAAGATACAACTTTCAGAACTTTGTTTTTAAAGGGGTCTTGCCTGTGTGTATGCACGCTATTTTATTACATATTGTTTTAGAGCAGGGAAAATGTTTATCGACTTTATCAAATGCCTTTAAAATATGCCTAGGATTTTGAAAAATATAAGTTCTAAAATATGATACAGCAGAGCCATTTGGAACAGTTATGACAGATCAAGAATACTCCGTTCAGTAAGACTCAAATAATTAGTAAAATAGGGTGATGCAGACATCACTTTCATGAGCACTAAAAAAGTGACAAAATGAAAGTAAGGGTTCTACATTCTTCTCAATGACTCTGGATATTAACAAGATTTTTTTTTTCTAGCTGCCATCCCTGTAAACTCATCCTGCAACCTGAAAATCAAGCTGACTGACTGTGATGGCAGAATTTGGATCACAGATTTACACTCTTGCACACTGAGGCTGCACAGGTGTATTGGAAGAAAGACTTTGGCCTTCAATTAGAAGTTAAACAATTGTGTTTGATGCACATATGAGAATACATTTGAGCTCTCAATAATAGCACTGCAGTCAACTCCCATAAAACTAGAGTTGAGAAGACAACAGCACATGAGAAGGGAGAAAAGAGCCAGTTGGTTTGTTTGCTGCTACAGGGTCTATTTGCACAGTTCTGAAGCAGAGCTCACATTTTGCAGCCAACATCAATGTTTTTTAAAATAAATTGTGAATTACAGGAACTGTCCCCACCAGGTTATGGGAGAGGCCGCTTTTATCAACATTAGAAGGTTCCAACATATTTTTACTTCAGTCAAAAGAAAAGGCATGAAATGACATTAGTGCAATGCAGCAATGCCTGTATGTAATCTGTCAAAGTCACATGAGAGAGACATGGTGACATGCTAGAGAAGCAAATGTCTTTTCTTCAGCTGGCTATTTAATAGGTGGTGATATTTCAAGACTGCAACATGAGCAATAGCAAACACAAAAAGAAGTTGGCAAAAGGCAGCGTGCTACAATAAAATGATTTTTAACTTAACAGCCTGGTTACAGTCTTTATTGTGTGAATTTGTCATGGTTTCATTTGCCTTCAAGGGGTGATTTCTAATTACTTTCATAAACTGATAGAGCATTTGTTACAAAATGTTCTTTTGCAACAAATGATTCAACTTTAATCCTATAGAGGCAAACATGATTTTCATTCTTCTAAAGGTAACAAAACCCTTTCGGTGGAGGATGTGGAGTAAAAATATTTTACTGTCTGCAATAAGGGAAGCATAGGCACACTCATTTTTATGTGGTTTCCCATAATCCTACATTTAAAATGCAAATAAAGTACTATCCGTTCCTGCAGGTTCATATGCAAGGAAAGCTGCATTCGGTGCCTTTTGCAGGATTGTGGTTTATATTCTACGTGTAGGCAAATCTGCATACAGATTCAGAACAAAACTGGCAATGATCACGAGGTTTACTCAGAACTGCTTCTTCCGATGAAGCACGTAGTCCTGCCACTGGGCAATTCTAATCCGTATGAGCAAATAATAGTTCAGCCATGTTACTAAACGCTCCATCAGGTCAGCTGGCCAGATGGAGCTCAAGGGAGGGGATGATAGCTAATTCGGGTCTTGCCGCTCTCCGTACACCTACTGCCACTCTTAAGTGACAACCTGCTTTGCAAGAGCCAACCCATGTCCTCTCCCTGCCTCTCAAACCTCAAAACCAGGTGCCATTTTGGTGCCAGCCTGTCAGGCACAGGCCTTGAAGGTCAATCCCATTCCATCTTGCTACATCTTCCTGGCTTCTTTGGGGTACCTGCTTTAACATACCAGAAACATCTTTTACCCCACAATATGTGGTGCTGAAGCTGAACAGCCTGCTCCCATTTATTATTTCACCTTGCATTTTATCACCCCAAATATTCCTCTACAGGTCAAAATCTATGCAATCTTTCAAATCTGTCTTTTCAAACCTCCTTCCAGGTGTGACTACATGCTGGAAGAAGGGTACACTGATTTTTTCACATTTACTGTCCCTGGCTACAGATGTTGAGCTGGCAAAGCAATCTTTGCTTGGTCTAGGAGACCCTGTCTACACTGGGGAAGGTTTCCAAAAAATGCAAACTAGTTTAAAGCATCTTAGAGCAAGAACTCAGACAAGGTCAGAACTACTTTCTACAGCTAATATACACCCCAGTGTGGACAGTGACATTATTTGTAGTGGCAGAACTTGCTTCTGCAAGAAGCCAGAGTAAGCTGCAAAGTTCAGTCCACTCCCAGTGCTTGCTTTTCAACTCAATTTGGTGACATCACAATTAGAGATGTAAAATCCCGGTTAATTGGCTAACCAGTTAAACATGTTGTTTAACTGGTTAACCAATTAAATGAGGGGTAAGTGTGTGTGTGGGGAGGAGGGGGGTTGCTCCAGCAGGTAGGGGATCCATCCTGGCCAGAATAGCCCTGGACTGGATGCTGCAGCAGTACCTGCCTGTGATGGACCAGGGCGCCGCACAAGCAGGAGCTGCTTCAGCCCTGCCGGAGCAGCTCCTGTTCGTGACAAGCACCCCCGCAGGGCTGGAACTGCACACTGCTTGCAGCAGGCAAGAAGCTGCTCCAGCCCTTACTGGATAACCTTAACCAGCAAGCCTTACTACCCATGAAAGGGCAAGGCTTACCAGTTAAACCTTCAAATCCCTAACCACAATAGGTTGCTGTAAAAGTAACTACCAGTTGATTATGACTCCAAGTAGTAAGGAACAAGACTGATGCAATTTACATGCAATGCACTTGTGATACAGAATATGAAGAGAACGCGAGGAAACATGATTTTCTAAACCAACATTTATAAAAAGGTAGAATCAAAAAAGAGAATCAAACCGAGGCAGAAAAAGAATTATTCTGTATTTTGCTTTAAGGAAAGATGACTATGAGATGAGAGGTGACTTCACAAGTGTAAAAGGTGAACTAGAGAAACTTGGATAGGGATCACTTTCAGTCCAACAGCAACAGAAGAGATAACAGTCATTCCAGAGTGTGCGTTTTTAGTACAGGAATTCATATTTATAATTTCATTGTATTGCAGTCTAAATCCACTGCTCGTGTTAGTTTTGATCTACAGCTACAAAATGTTATATTGTCCAGTCTAGGATCAATCAATATACTGTTTCTTAGACACCATACCATGCTACCTTAAGACAGGATTCCTGAAGGACGTGAAACTGACGCAGTGCAGGCTACTGCTGATGGTAGTCCTATTTTGAGGAAGACTGACTGACAACATTTACATTTTTATGCCATTGCTATCAAACACATCTCCAAAGACACATTCAATGGAACGATCCTGGGTGAAGGAAGAATTGAGGCTGCTACTGCCTTGAAGATAATTAAGTATGTTTTGCTGGGACAAGTTTGAATCTTTGCATGTGATCTGCAACATGGGACAGAAAGCTTGTGTCGGAACAGATGTGTGGCTGAAAAGCATGGCCACCACATCAACCCTGTTTGAGCTTCAAGCAGTTTCACTAAGGATTTAGATGGGCTAGAGAAGCTGTGGGCGTTTACCTGTTATCAAGGTTTACCTGTGCTCTTCATGCCTGGTAAAGTCAGCAGACTGGTGTTGGGGCTATTCTTGGTGCAATATCCCGCTTTCTTAAAGCAGACATCAACTATTTCCATGTCCCTAAACCTGCCCAAGAAGGTCAGATTATGAAACAGGGAGTAGGAAAATGGTGATGGCAGTATCTGAAAGTCATATTCAGGGCTCGCCGAACCGCGGCGAGCCCTGCTCGCCAGCCGGGCTGTCCGGCAATCAGCGCATGCACAGATCGCCCGAACCCGACTCTTCCGGGTTGTAATCTCGCCAGGGGTGAGTAGATTGCATTATTTGTCGAGCCCTAGTCATATTTACTTAGTCCCCGTCTGTCTGATTTCAGGCCTCGTTACATGCACCGGTCTCTCTTGATAATACAACAGACAAAAGATCAGTTTTCTTTGATAGATTTTAGTTCTGCTAACGGCATTTGTTATAGTTGACCCTTGAGTGAGGACCTTGCAAGGGAATTGTTAACACGATTCTGTATTTCCCCCCAGAGATCATATACAATTATAGGGAGTAATAACTTGCCTGTAATTTAATTGCAAAAGCAATAGCATTCACAATGGGATGTTCCACCGCAATGGTAAATGGGCTATTTCATCACAGCATTCTAGTTATATGTACAAGCTACAACAAGTCAGGAAAGAATTGCCTCCCTCCCTGCCCGCTACACAACATGTTGGGATCTTTTAGCCCCATCCTAAGTCATACACACGATTTTCAGAAACGAGCGCTGGTGGACTCCTGTGTCTTACACATTTTTGTGCGGTGTATTTCGCAATGGTAAATGGGCTATTTCATCACAGCATTCTAGTTATATGTACAAGCTACAACAAGTCAGGAAAGAATTGCCTCCCTCCCTGCCCGCTACACAACATGTTGGGATCTTTTAGCCCCATCCTAAGTCATACACACGATTTTCAGAAACGAGCGCTGGTGGACTCCTGTGTCTTACACATTTTTGTGCGGTGTATTTATCAGTCATTTTAAAGCCTATTTACCCCTTTCCTGCTCTGAGAAGTGCAATACATAAATCATCAAGTTCTAGTAAGTGGTATT